GCATAGACAAATGGGGTGTGAACAGCTCACACTGCTCTTGGAGACAATGGTACAGCTCTGCATGTGCTGGGACAGTCCCTTTGGAACGCTCTCAGAACCTGGACTGGGCCCCTGGCTGTTTGGGGGGGTCAGCAGAACTGGCCCCTGGCTTGTGTTCTGATCTGCACCTGTGCAAAGTGTGCACCTGGTGTGAGTGGGGGCGGGAATCGGAACGGAATGGGTAGTGTGTTACACCCACTTGGGCAAGGTGCAATGGCAGGAGGTGCAGGGCAGAGTGCCAGAGAACAGAGGGGTGGGAGAAGACGTGGGGATCCAGTGTCTGTGGAAGATGAGGCCATTCCAGGAGGAAGAGGAGTTCTCCAAACCTCGGGGGCCTGCTGCACTGGCCTGACTGTCTCTGGGAGATTTGACCGAGTTGCCAACTGTCGTGATTGGATCAGGAGTCTCGTGACAGTTGATGCTTTACTTAAAGGTTGAGTTCCTGGAGGCCTGTAAGTGCAAGAGAATTTCAGCTGTTGTGAAAAGGGGAGTTCCCAGCTCTCCTGTCTGCAGAGAAATAGTGGGAGACGCAACCCCCACAGGGTTGTCCCCAGAGGACAAAGACCAACGTTATTCATGCTTAAATCTTGTGGTTTTAACGCTAGTCTCATGGGTTTTGACCTCCAGGGTTGGCAGTGCTGGATTCTGGCACTTCCTTTTTCCTGCTGGAAGCAGGAAGTGTGCAGGCAGCGCCAGCACAAAAATAAGGGAAACACAAAAGGAGATCAAACACTTCTGAACGCTAGAAAAGGTTCAGTTCAGGTGTGGTGGGGGGAAGGGTCGGGGGGATCCTAGTCCACACAAACTGGTTCTGCCATGCCCAAGCGCTCGCCACAGCCGCTGTCCCGTCGCACTCCACACACTGGCCTCTGGACAGGTTCCTTTTCTCACTTCAGAAAGCTGCTAGATACCAAACACACACATTCAGACCTCAGTGCAGCCCCTCCCCCCAGGCTGTGACACCCCCCCCCTCCATCCCCTTGGGGTGACATTTCTGCCTCTCTTCCCCCATCCTCCCTTGCTAGGTCTTTGCTCTCCTGAACAGCTGGTCTCCCCGCACATGTTCTCGGGCTCATTCAGTTTCTATTTTAACCCTCAGCAATCGATCACATGGCTGCGTAGAGAGGGCACCTGCGCTGGTGTCCCCTGCCTGCCACTGCACTTGGGCTGGACCATGTAGCAACCTCCCCTCCCCACCTTTTCTCTTCCTGTGCAAATTAGTTTCCAAGAATAGCTAAGTAAGTACAGCCTGGTGATGTGCAGAACCATGGTGCCTGCTCCCTGCAGAATGTCTCCCAGTATCTTTCCCTGACCCCCCCAGGCAATCCCACTCCACCACCCAGGTGAACGACGCGGCTTTGGTACCAGCTGCAATGTTCTTTGTCGTCCAACACGTGCCTTTTCTTGGACCGTTAATCATCCAACTTGCTGCTGCTTTGGTTTGAGGTGATCACCTAATTCTCCTTCCTACCCAATGGTGCATATTTCTAAAAGCCTCCTGCTTAAATCTTCCATTATTCTTTCCTCACTGCTCAGCCGGAGGTTCGGCCAGGATGAATTTCTATTGCCAGCTCCCTGAACTTTTTCTCAAACATTTCCCGCCTTCCCACAGCTCCAATCAGGAGCCCTCTGGGCTTTGCAAGCTGCTTCAAAGTCAGCTTCCCCAAAGCCCAAACCTTTGGTGTTGCTGAGAGTTTAACCACGTTAGCATGTCGAATCTCTGAAATCCGGCTCGCTTGGGCCCCGAGAATCAGCTTAAGTCTTATTTATCGCTCCTGCTCTGTTTTCTGAGATGAGGCCCAGCAGAGCCGCTGACTGTGTTCCCTGTTCAACGAACTGCATCAAACAGCAATTGTGCTATTGCAAGTCTCTTCCCTCCCTCCGTTTGTGCAGAGCTGTGACGCAGAATTTTCTGAGATCCTAATGAATGCATCGCTGGCTGGTACACCGCTCCTCCTTACTTCACAAACCATTCCCTGATGACGTTCTTTGCCTGCCCTGGAGGTTTTAGAGGAGCATCCGTGACTCAGCTCGCCTAACCACCTTCACTGTCCTCAGCTTCCATCCAAACTGCCTTCTGCTGCATCAGCAGGACAAACAGAAGACTCTGAACACATGAATGGTAGCTCCTCCCAAGCCTACAGGGATGGGTCAGACCCTCAAATCTTCCAGGTTGGGGGCCCAGTCCAGCTGCTGAATCACCCATACCCGAGTCCTCCCACTGAAGGGACAATTCACATGAATTCACAGGGCTCAGCCTGGCGTTCTATATTCAGTGAGTTATCAATGAGCTATGGTCTTTCCAAGCTCCCCAGTGAAGGCTAGGACTAGAACAGCGTTTAAAAGAGAACTGGATAAATTCACGGTGGTTAAGTCCATTAATGGCTATTAGCCAGGACGGGTAAGGAATGGTGTCCCTAGCCTCTGTCTGTCAGAGGATGGGGATGGATGGCAGGAGAGAGATCACTTGATCATTGCCTGTTAGGTTCACTCCCTCTGGGGCACTGGCATTGGCCACTGTCGGTAGACAGGATACTGGGCTAGATGGACCTTTGGTCTGACCCAGTACGGCCGTTCTTATGGGTTAGATCCTGAGCATGTAGCTTAGGAACCTCTCCATCCTGTATCCCATCCATTTCAGGAATAATCACTGTTCTGTTATTGCACCTCTAATGACCTTGGGAAGGGAGAGGAGATTTTTGTAAATACCACCAAGGCTTTCCTCAGGAGCCAAGAATTTTAAGCTCCAAAGAGGCAGTGCCCTGCAAAGGAGAGGTGATTCTCTAATGCAGTTGAGAGGAAAGGTAATGCACTAAAATAGCACAATTGCATTACCAGAGGCCCCCATTAAGAAAGCTTTTCCTTGCTCCGGCTTGGATGTGGTCTGCAGAAGGGGAGGGCTAATGGATGCAGCTATTAGGAAGAGGTGGTTGATGTACAGAGTGCATGTTCAGGCAATTATCCTGAAATAAACGCTCAGGGGGTGAATGTAGGCTCCAAAGTCTTCTCTTTGGCTTCTCTAACACCCCCTCTTTATTCTCCCACATGCAGTCTGGGCCTTGATAGCCATGTGCTGCTATTTGTGGCTTCAGAGACTGGAAGGAAATATTTTGCTGCCGGGAGCACTGGATGGATGCCTCCCAGTCATACACGGGAGGGATTTGCTTTGTTCATCCTGCCAATGTGGATTCAGGCATGGAGAAATCTGGGATTGCTGTAGCCTGGTGTCACGGTCATCTGCACTGACATGGGCGACATCCAGGCTCCAGGCCCGGCTTGCTTCCAGTGCTCTCAGCCCTATGGAGCTCTGCTGATGACTAATTAGGAGCTTAAATTCTGGGCTGGATTTTACTCCATAGTTTTTTACTAGCTGCACAAGAGAAACACTTGAATGGCTTCTCCCATTTGCCAGGTCCCCTGTTCCCTACAGGGTCCCATCCTGCAAGGTGCTGAGGGAGGACACCAGTGTACCAGCGGAGGTACTCAGCACCTTGCAGGGTCAGGCATTCTGTTACTGGATGCCACAGGGACAGGTATGCTAGAAAGAGCAGGTTAGCTAGACTGAAGCCTTCCCTACTCAGAGATTTTAATTCCATGAACCAGTTGTTCCTTTATCAGCCTTCATGCCCATTCATCGCTGGTTTTACAGCCAGCAGGGTGTCTCGGCTCCTCTAGTCTGACCTGTAAACCCCAGGCTATCGAATGTCATCCCGGTACCAGGCCCTGCCCTGAGAACTGCTTGACTAAAGCATCTTTGCCAGAAAACAGCACTCTCCTTTTGAGGACAGCAGGAGCCGGAGAAGCCACCACTTCCCCCGCTAGTCTGTTCCAATAGTTATGTTCTTCAAGCGGGTGATTGTGGCCAGTTAAAAGCAGTGGATGCCCATTACCTCTCAGAATGAGAACTGAGGTGTCAGGCAGGGCCTTCCAAAACAGAGACACCCCAAACCAGTAGCCATTTTGGCTTCAGTGCATATATGGACAGGGGCCATTCTTGGTTCCAGCTGTGCATTTTCTACTCAAATTAACAGCACTTCACTCCTGATAACTTTCCTTGCAATTACACAACCCCTCTACACCTCTTGCACAGGATCTCTGTGCAAACTATACCCAGAGATCCTGTCATCCGCCAAGGCATGTGTAAGCAAAACCTAAACTCAGTGAGAATGCACAGTGAATTATAAAAGGTTCTAGTCAATTGCAATTTCAGTCTATTTGATGATGCATTGTGACTGGAGAAAACCCAAGAATCTCTTTCATGGCAATCACAACTTTGCCAATAAAATTGTCACCATTCCTTTAACCCCCCAACAATCTGTGTTTAAGTAACTTGACAGAGAAACAAAGCCCAGTATCAGTGAAGGGGAATCTGATGAAACCAGACTAGAAGTAAAAGGATACACACTAATCTGTGAAAAGGCACACAAGCCTAGCAGGGGCGTGTAGTCTAGGGGTGAGTGCAGGGCTTCTTTCCCCAGCTCCACACACTTCTGTCTAGCTCCTACCAGTGGTGTGAGAAGGAGGGGGTGTTAATTGCCTTACTATTTTAAGATGAAAGATGCTCTAGAAACACCAATTATTTCATTGATGAGGAAAAAGAGCAGTGAGCTTCCCCGGGGGGAGCTACCCAAAGTCACCGTGTAATACAGGGTCCGGCGGTTGGGGGGCTCCGCTGATGGGTGGATTCAGCACGGCTCAGCTGTGTGTCATAGATTCTATGCTGCTGGTAGCTAAGGGAGAGTCTCCTTGAGCTGAAGGGGCATGGCCCTGGGCTTTTGAAGCCAGGGGAGATAAGGCCCGTTTCTGCCACCCCAGGAGGAATAACCAAGGAGAAGGGGGCTGGAGGGGGCCCGCTAGGCTGAGCCCGGCCCTGGGAGGGGGGCGGGTCAGGGGCTCCTGCCTGCAGCCGGGGAGCCACGTGTCCCGCACAGCGCGCACCGCAGAGCTGCAGCGTGGAGAGCGGCCCGGCTGCAAGGGGCTGCAGCGCCGCAAACCCAGCCCCGCCTCGGAGCGGTCCCTGCCCCTGCCCTGCCCAGCCCGCAGCGGGCCCCCCCTGCCCTGGCCAAGCCCCTGCCGGGCCGGTTCGCCCACCGGTGCTGCGGGCTCCCCGGCTAGTCTGGCGTAGCCCCCCGGCCCTGCCCAACGCCTCTCCGGCTGCAGCGCCCCCCCGCTCCCCGCAGCATCCTCAGCCGGCCCTGGCAGCGCGCCCGCCTCGCCCCCGCCTGTCCTGCCCGGCTGCGTCCCTCCGCCTTGGCTGCGCCGAGCCCCGGCCGGATGCTGCAGCTGCTGCGGGGACCAGACGGACTTGGGCTCGAGCCTTGTCCTCCTGCCCCTTGCGCCGGGACCGGGCGCTCCGGCGGCAGCTCGCCCCGACCCTGCCCCGCCGCTGGCGGCTGCGGGGGGTCCCCGAGGTGCCCCGGCACAGCGGATGGCGGCGGACGGGAGCAGCGCCCGGCTCTGCCGGAGCTGGCCGGCGGCGGCTCTGCTGGGTAAGGGGGCGTGCGGGGACGGGGCGCCCTGGGGCACGGACCGGGGCGCTCTGCCTCGGGGCTGGGCTGGGCGTGCTTCGCCCCCGCTTTGCTGCCCCCGGGATCAGCGAGACACCTCGGGCCGCAGGTCTCCGCTTTTGGGGGCTCCCCCCAAGGCACAGAGCGCCCCAGGCTGCGGCTTGAGGATGGGGACTCGCCCCCAGCCGGCTCCGGGAGCCCCCTGCATGGGTAACAAGGGATGCTCTGTCCTAGGGGAGACATGCGAAGCAGAAACCGCTGCTTCAGTGCCCTGGGGCCAGGCAGGGCTTAGCTCCCGGGGCCTCTCCTAGCCCGTAACCACGGCGTGACGGTACGTTTATTCCCCGTTTATTAAGTGCCAGCATGTCCTGCTGCTAATCGCTCGAGTTTCTTCATTGCTGTCAGCTGGAGCCTCAGAGAGTACAAGTCCAAATTCTGCTCTCCTGGGTCAAAGGAGACTGCCAGAGTCCAGGGAAGGCAGGGGGTGACTTTGGACTTGCACCATGTCAGTGAGGGTGCCCTGTGTTAAGGGGAAGGAACTTGCTGTTGGTAACTAGCCCAAGGGAGTTGTGTCTGGAGGCTGGAGCGCAGGCTGGTCGTCAGGGCTTGGAGACGGGCACTGGTTTGGAGCAATGGTTCACAACATGGCCAATGTCAAGGGCTCGAAAATCAGGAGTCGGCCCCCAAATCAGGAGACTTTTACAAACTACTAAATGTTGGGGTCTTTCTTTGATGGCTGGTTTCTCAGCCTTTAGGGAGCTCTCAGACCATGTGTTCAGGCTTTTCTCTGCAGTCAGGAGGGTTGGAACTTACTTTTGTTCTAAAAGAAACCTGAGAGTCTCATGTAATCACAGGACTCCAGGAGCAGGTGCTTTAGGATGAACATCAAATGTAACAAGGCTCCCAAATAAATAGAGAGAGTCAATTGATTCTGGACAGTTTGCATTATCCCACCCACTGTTGTAATGATATGGTCCTGTATGACAGTGTGTATCTTTCTACACACTAGACCCCTCTGAGCCTCTGTTCCTATGTTACTGTAATTTAGTAGCTTTAACCATTTCTATAAGTCCCATAAACACTGAAGTTATTGTTTCTTCCTCCTCGAAAAATATTTACATTTTAAAAGTAAACTCTCCATTTCCACGAGGAAAGATCAACCCACAGCCAATAGCTTGCTTTGATTTCCGCTGCTCTGCAGCGAGTCGTGGGTACTCGGCACTTGCACTTTCATCCATAGTCTCCAAGTGCTTCACTCAGGGCTGGGGAGGGTGATCTCCATTTTGCAGATGTGCAATCTGAGGCATTGAGGGTAAGTGACTTGCCAAGGTCGCTCCAGGAATAGAGCCCTGGCTCCCAGGCCTTTGCCCTACCTGCGTCAATGACTAATATACATGCAGTGGTGACTCCTTTGGCGTTTTCTCTCATAGGCTCCATCATTCTCGCTTTGCTGATCTGCTAGCGGGGGGTACGCTAGCTAACTGCTAAAATTAAATGGGGAAAATATATGTCAGGGACCAGAGGAAACAATTGTAAGTGTTTCATGCAGCTGAGCATAATAATAGTTAAGGATTTACAAATATTTGCCATGCCTTCCTTCCCAGCAGAGGAAAGAAATGCATATCTGGGGCCCTGCTTGGAGCATAACACCCAAATCCGAGCCTGGGGGAGGTTCTGTAAAGTGCCCTGGCTACATCCAGGGGCTAGGAGCCAAGACATGCGGTGGCAGCTTTTTGCGGTGCTGTTTTCTCTGTCCCAGCAGGCCCCACATAGGGCTGGTTCAGAGCTTCCTGTACCTGCCAAGGGCGTCGTTATCTGCTGAGCAGTTGTCCTAGTCTGGGTAGGGGGTTGTTCTTTGAACAGAGAATCTGAAAACAAGAATTTAATTGAATTTTCAGTACTTAAAACCCACTGCCTGTTGGAAAACTCCAGTGAGGGGCTTCTGGTAGGGCAAGTTGGTTCTCAAGATAATTTTAAATGAGCTGGAGAAATTAGAGAGAGAGGGACTGGGATTTCAAAGGAGTTTGGATTCCAGTGAGATTTAGGTGCCTAATTCCCTTAGGTGTCTTTGAAAATCCAAGCCCAGGTAACCCAAGGACAGCCTCATTTTAAGAAGGAAAAACTGGCCATGTGTTGTCATAGTTAGAACAGAGGCTCAGACGTTTTAAGCTGGAGTCATCTTGAGTTCTAAGACCAGGTGCTGGTTCTTCTGATCTCAGGAAGGAAGGAAATCGGACCCCTTTGTACCTCGGCCAGCTCAGCCAGGCTTAAACAAAAAAGGTTGGGGGAGGAATCTCAGTGCAAATTGTCTGCAGCTGAGTAATTTAATTCTGCTTTTCAGTGACTGAGGCTGATTGCACAGGCTGGTTAGCCAGAGCCACCACCAAGCAGGACTCTGGGGCAGAGAGGGAGTGGTACCTCGATAGTACAACAAGGGAAGTGCTAACAGCAGGGACCCTCACAGACTGTCCAACTCCTGTACCTCAAAGGGGTGGTTGTGGCCGTACCCCCAGCACGCCGAGGTGCCTAGGAAAAGGGCTGAAGCGTAAAGGTTCTTTTAAGATGGCAAAGCTGGATTCTGCTTCAAGCGGACTGTGAGCTCTTCCCTCCTTGGTGCTGTGTGGGAGGAGGAGCCCACCTAGCCTGGGAAGAGGTTATGGCCCCAGGGACTGGGACGGGTTGATGGTTGTTAGTGATGTAAGTGCTCATTTGCAGCCCTTTGGTAGACCAACAGAGGCCTCCAGTGGCCATTTAGGTGAATCCCAGCCGCCCGGGTCACGTTTCTGCCTCACGTTGGGTCGCTGGCTGCTCCAGTCGGTTCCAGGTGCTGTCCTGACCTGCCCCATGGCGGGTTGGGTTGTTTCAGGTGCAGTGTGCCTGGCAAGCCCAGCACAATGGGGACGGGGTTACGTGAGGGTTGTTTTCAGTGATTAGAGCAGGCCAGGGAATGAGGAGTTAGAGCTCCTGCCTGCCCACTTCTGCCACTGACTCTGTGGGACCCCCCTGGGAACTCAGCCAAGCTGCAGGGTGCTGGGAGGTTTAATGTTAGCAAAGGGCTTTGAGAGTTTTGGTTGACGGGGCTGTAGCTGGGCATTGTTATTCCGTGGGAACGTGCCAGCTCTTTCCTCCCCAGGCCAGTCCAATGACCGGTAGTTCCCTGTGGAGAAGAAATGGTACAATGCTGCAAAAACCTCGCCGCTCCTGGCTTAGTGTTTCCTGCTGCCCTGCTCTGGGGTGTGCGTCTCACTCATGCCGGAATGGGCAGAGGATTTAAAATGCTGCCAGCGGCCAGAGCGAGCGGAGAATTCAGCTTCATTAATGTTTTAAGCCCGCTCCACAGCGGTGGGAATAAGCGCTGTCCCCCAGTGCAGAGCAGTGGGATTGGGCCCTGCTGCGTGTCTGAACAACGCTGCTGATGTCTCAAGCAGCCACCCTTGATCTCGGCAACACGGGGCAACTCCCATTTCTTGATCTCAGAGCAGCAAAGAGAAGTCTTCTAAAGCTGCTGCATTAGCAACGGAGGCGGGACAGAAAGGACATGCGTCTACACAGGCCTCCTCTGTGTTGGTGCCTTTGATTGGTTGCTGCCAGGGGACTCGGCAAAGAGCAGGGTGGTATAGCTCAGCATGTGTCATGATGTAGGAATTTTTTTATCTTGGTTTTAAAACGTGTTTTGTGTTTGCTTTGCTCGGAGGCCTCAGGCTCAAGGACGTTTTTGGAAGAAGCCAGTGACAGCTATAGCAAACATTCACTAATTTCTGTAGATAGCTTGCGCCTGTCTGGACGGAGTTCTTACAGACCTTGCGAAGCAGCCCTGCTCTGCCCTTTCCCTCAGGAACGGGAGGCCCAGCTGCACTGAGTGAGGATGTGGGGCTGAGGGGGGTGGCTCCTCTGGAGGGAGCATCTCTGCTCAGGTGCCCCACTCCACCCCCCTGCCTCCTTGGGGGGCGCCGGCAGCACTGGACAATACTGCGCTGAGGGGGAGGAGTTGACTGATGACCCCAGGAGAGCCTGTCCCTCCTGGAGCCTCATGGGCCAGCAATCCCGTCCCCCAGCAGCGATGGGTGGCTGGGGGGGGTTGGTGAGAAGGGGCAGATTTAACCAGACAGACCCTCTCTCCCCCAGGATGGTCACAGGGAAATCCTGCCCCGGAGAGTCGAACTCCTCGTAAATATTCTCCGGCGCTGCCACTCTCCTTAGGCTCCTCTGGGCCTGGTTGGCCCAGACCCATCCTGTGAGCACCTAACCCCTGGGCTGCTCTCTGGTGTTAAACATGAGAACAGGTTCACCCTGGTGTCATTTATCAAAGGTCCCATAATCCCTCTGTCCGGCTCGAGGGTGGGGTTGGCCTCATGACTAATGTCTCCTTTCTCACCCTCCAGAACAGCTCCCCCTTGCGGCCCTGCCCTGGTCTGGGCCATGGCCCAGATGCCAGGACCCATCCAGCCTGGATTATAGGGGTGATGCTTGGCTTGTAGACACCTGAGCAGGACTGAGAGCTCCAGAGTGTGGTCGCCAGGGGCCTGGGAGTGAAAGGCCAGAGCTGGGAGACGCTCCCTTCCCTGCTGCTGCTGGCCAGGCTACTTGCAGTTGCCCTTTCCCAGGGTGTGTTCCTGAAGCGCTGTCCTGCTCTGTGTCCTCTAGGAAGGCAGCGTGGGGACTGGCTAGGTTAGTCTGAGGCATGTGGTGCCTCCAGGGAGCCCAATTAATGGACCAGCAATCGCATTTTGTTACCAGGTGACTGCATGACGGTAGCCTCTGGGCATGCCCTAGGAGATGCCATCTCTGAATGAGAATCGGGTATCGGGTGCCTGTGGAAACTGATGTGTCTTTGTTCTCTCTTTCCCTGGGCAGGTTTACAGCTCTTCTCCATGGCTGTCACCTTGGAGGTCTCAGTGGGGAAAAACTACCTTGTGATGGCTCTGAACGGCTCAGAAGTGCAGCTGCCCTGCATCTTCACCACTTGCATAGGATTCAAGAACCTTGACTTCACTTGGTATTACAACAGCACTGACCTGGTGCGTGGCGCGCTCTGCTCCTCACTGGGTTTGATTGCCAGTTCTCCTGGGTCCCCCAGCACAGACTGGCTGCTAGTGCTTCAGAGAGTGATTTGGATCCCGTTTCTCCTGCTTTAGGACACCCTGCTGGCCACGAGGGATCTGGTTTGGCAATTGCCCTCTCAGAGCCCACTGCACTCTATTTGCTGGGCACCATAACTGCCCGCAGGAGACACCGCTGGGTGGAGCAGTGTGGAACGGAGAAAATTTCTTCCACTTGGTTTGGCCGCAGCAAAGTCACCATTTCATTTCCTGTAGGCATGTCTGTGAGCTTCGGCAGCAGCGACTGGCAAATCCCCGGGTTAAATCAATCCCTTTTGCTCAGAAATGTCCCATTTCACTCAGGAGCAGGTCAGCACTTTGAGCGAAACACAGTGAATTTTCCAGCTAAACAGGCCCCTTCTCGTGCTCGCCATGAGATGCCAAAGGGCCGTTGGTTCTGGAGCCCAACAGCACTAAACAAAGTTGTCATTTCATACAAATGTGGCTTAATAAGGAGAAGAGCCCTCCAGCATTTGGCCAGATGCAGGTGGGGGGTGTTGGCCGCGTGCTGAAGAGTTAGGAAGGGGCAGCATGCATGGAGTATGGTTCTGCTCTGCCTCCATTAAAAGACCCCCCTCCACTCTGCTCAGCCCCTTGAGTTTCCCTGTTGATGACTGTTCATTTCACTGGTGCATACCTAGCATGCAGGAGCCATCTCGGGGGTGGGGAAGGGATGTGCTGAGAGGAATAACTGGCTTTGGGAGCCCTGGGCAAAAGCCAAGCATTTAGATTCATTCTACCCCTAGCCCGGAGGAGACAAAATCCTCAGAAAGCCAGGGAGGGATGGAAAGAGAATTTCTTGTCCCCTTGTAATCCACATCTACACTACAGCTGTCACTGACGCATGGCACTGTTACAGTGTGCTTGTCCCTGACCTGGATGCAACATGGTTACAAACTGTCATGTAGCCGGGCCCCAACCTACTCAGCCTTGGTAGCTCTGTGTCTCTCTGACAGCCGGCAGAGCTCTCAAGGCCTTCCCTTGTCTGAGGCTTGCTGAGTTTGTGGCCTGGCTGTGCTGTTTGCTTGCTCAGCGTCCTGCTGCATTCCCTCCCCTGCAGATATACCACGGGATGATACAGAACAAAGCATCCGAGCCAACGATGCTATACGCAGACTCTCGGGTTCGGTTCATTGGCACAACCACCGGGAAGGAAAACAACATCTCCATCTCCATGTTTGTGGACTTCGATGACGCTGGGAAGTACACCTGCCATGTCAGGAACCCAAAGGAAATGAATGCTGAACACAATGCCACCATCATCCTCAAGGTGGTCCAGGAGCGTAAGTGTCTGCCAGGAGGAGCCTCCCACCCTCACTCTGCTGGTGCCGATAGACAAAGGTTCCCCTGAGTGACCAGCAGGATCAGGCAAAGTTAAAACAAGATATCCTGCTAGTGGTCCTAGCAGGGGACTGGGACTCAGGACTGCTGAGTTCTGTTGGGTTTCCATCAGTGTCAAGGAAAGTAGAATCTGCTCCCAGGAGTTCTAGTGTGACCAGTGTATATTCTAGCTAGTCTTCAGCAAATGGCTGTCCACCTCAGAAAAGAGCCCCAGGAGAGGCACCTGTTTAGGAGAGGATCAAGGCTGGACTGGCTGAGGGGCATTGGCAGAATTGGGGGTCTTTCACTTCACACCCCTCCTCCTGCCAAGAAGTAAGGCCGACCTCTCAGAGTGGGCTCTGGGTTTTAGCTCCCTTGATCTATTTTGGGTGCCTAACTTGAGACCCCTCACGCTGAGCACCCACAACCTGAGACACCTACAATCCCTCCAGGAGACGATGGCTAAGATAAAGATACGTGCCATCCCCTGTGGGCCCTGCTCCAGGCCAGGAGCCAGGGGCACAAGGAGGGCATTCATGGGGTAACTCCCTCCATGGCTTACGGTCAAGTTGAACCATGAGCTGTGCGGTTGTTGGAGAAGGCTTGGGGCAGCAGAGACTAGAGGGTGACGCCCATGGCTGTTCGACTTTAAAGAGCTGAACTGTTCTGCGGAGCAGAGGCAGCTGAGTGGCCCCTGCAGCTCCAGTGGTGGCCGAGGGCTGAGTGTCTGTCTCCTGCTGCTCAGGGCCAGAGACACCGTGCTGGTGGGACTCTTCTGGCTGGCACCCACTAACCTCTCCTCTGGCGCTCTCTCCTGCAGTGGTACCAGTGGACAACACGCTGACGCGCATCATCGTGGGAACCGTGGGCGGGCTCGTCGGCCTCCTCGTCCTCATCCTTGTCATCAAGAAAATCATCCTACTCATCCTCAAAAAGTCTCAGGAGAAGAAGTGAGTATGGATGGGCTTCCTTTCTCCCAGCCCCCGCTGCGTCCGGCTGCAGGGTGCGGTGCGTAACCCTTGGCTGGCCTTGTGCTGGGCGCAGCGTCATGCGTACCACAGGCATGGATGTTTGTGCTCTTTCTGACCCTCGTCCCCAGCCTAGACACCGGAGTGGCATCACCTGGGTGTTCACAAGGAGAGGGCAGGAGGCAGCATGACCCAGCGAACTGGGCCCAGGACTGGAAACTGGGCTCTACTGAGTTCTGTTCCCAGCTCTGCCTCTAGCTGGCTTTTCACTTCCCCATTTCCCCAGCTGTAAAACTGGGACAGGGACACTGAGCTAACAGGTCATGGGGCCGGCACGAGGATTGGTGCAGACATGCACAAAAGCCTGCTGCTGCCCTGTGTCTGGACAGTTCCCTGTGACCTGCCTCGCCCGGTCCTATTGTCAGTGCCCGAAGCACAGGGCTTCCCTTGGAGAGTGTGGCACAAACTGTTAGCTCTGTGTTGGGGTTGTAGTCCTGAATCCTCTGCCCAGCATGGGGAAGGCACGGCTCTTTGAAAGTGTGAGCCAGGAACGCCTGGAGTCTGCTGCCCACTCTCTCTGTGCCCTGCAATGTGTCACTTGACCTGCCTGCCCCATGGGAATGATAGAGCCTCTTGGGGAGCAGGGAGAATCCTGGCACTAGTGCCAGTCTAGTGTTTGGAGCCATGCCTGCACATCTCTCCCTCCATGGTTGCAATGGGGGGCGAGCTTCCCCCCCCAGCTCTGAGTGCATACACCCCTGGGGCCTGGCCTCCGACAGGTGGGGAGGGGCAGTGATGCCAGGCAGAGGGGGCCAGGTCCACGTTCAGGCCGAGGGGGGCTGCAGGCGCCAGCCACGTGCTGTAGGTGCTGTTCTCTCTCCTAGGAAGGAGTGCCTCGTGAGCTCCTCAGGGATCGACAACACTGAGAATGGTCTGGCGGGCTCCAAGGCGAAACAGAAAGCTCCACCAAAGGCATGAAGCAAACTCGGTCTGACCCACGAGGCAGCAAAACTCTAATGGCGGGGGGGAGGGGAAATCTATTTTATTTTGAAACTAACCATGCTTGAGACATCTCTGTATTATGCACAGGCCTGCAATTCGCGCCGCTCCTCAGCCCAGACTTGGAATGCCGTGTGGCCTGGGAGCAGGCTGTGATCCCAGCAGGGGAAAGGGAGCAGGCCAGCTCCATTCTCTCTGGGAGGAGGTGGGAACTCCCTGAGCTGGAGCTGGGGTGTGTGTGTGTGTTTTCACGTGGTGCGTGCGTGAGAGCGGCTGGTTCAGCACACACACAGACTGGGCGTGAGGGCGCTGAGCAGAAACGGTGCCTTGCGAAGCTGAGAGGGTGGCGGAGGGGGGTGTCGCCTGCCTGGCTCCCAGGGGTGCTAACCGCTGGGAGGAGGCTGTGCATCAGGCAGAGGGCAGCTAGTTCCTGGAGCAGAGCCCGCTGGCGCGCAAGGCTGCATGGAACGCTAGCAGTAGAGAGAGATGCACCTGTCCCTGCCTGAGCATGGAGCTGGCTCAAGGAGAAAGGGGGCTCTGCTGCCAAGTACGCTTCTGAACCAAATGACTAGTGCCACCTTTACCAAGCCTGGCTTTAATCTCTTTTCCTAACTGGCTAAGGGTAGCAGCAGGGGCCCCTGCTGCTGCTGCTCCTGGGACGAGCTCTCCCTCCCCTGCCACTTCCATTCCGCCCCAGCAGGCGAGGTGCCCACTCGATCAGTCTGGGCTTGTGCAACTCCGTAGTATTGTCACCAGCTGCCGTTGGTGCCAAGGATGGAATACACTGCGGCCAGGAGTCGCTGTAGTCACGGGGGGCTATGTCCGTTAGTTACATATAGCAGCCATTCACCTGCTATCCTGTGTGATTGCTATGGGCCTGGATCTCCACTGCCCTGCCCCTGGTGTCCTCACTTGCACTAGTGCAAGGGGAGTGTAGAGCACTGCCAGTCCGACTCCCTTTGCACATGGCAGCACAAGGTGCAGGGGTCCTGTGTCTGGCTGCCTGGCAAACCTGCCCTGTGAGCTCTGCGTGGAAAAGCTGGGTCAATAGTAAAGTGTTGGGGGGAGTCGGGGGGAGGATTCATTCCTCTGCTTGCACTTTGTCACTAGCACTCGCCTGGCTCGTGGTGAGGGCACCCAATGGCAGAAGAAACCACTGTGAAATGCATCTGAACAAAGGTGTTGTGTAGGCCTGTGAGCAGGGCCCGTGCTCTGTGCTGTCTGTCTGCGCTCATGCCAGGCGGAGCAGCCTGGAATACACACTGACTGTACTGGCTCACCCTGTCCTGTGTCCTGCTGTGGCCGATGTACATTCAGTTGCTCTCACCACTGCGTGGCATGTACCTGGCCGGTTTTCTAGGGAGAAGTTGCCGTATTTTTTTCCATCAGTTCCGGTTTTACTCTTTGTTTGTTTTTTATTTAAAGCTCGGCGCTTAAAGTAACAGACATGGAAGAAGCTGACCTACCCAAAGCTTTAATTAGTTACTCAAATAATTTGTATAATGGATTTAAATGGGGAAAATGGCTCATTCGGTTTCCCTTTCACTTAAGAGAGAATGTGGCGCTCCATTCGCTATGCAGGGAGGGAGTGTGGTCTAGTCATGGTTAGAGGACTTGGATTCAGGACTCAGGTTCTGTTCCTGGCTCTGCTGCTGACTCACTGTGACACCTCAGGCAAGTCGCTTTGCTTCTCTGTGCCTCAGTTTCCCCATCTGTAAAATGGGGATAATAATACTGACCTACCTCACAGGTGAGTAACCATTTGTAAAGTGCTTTGAAATCCTTGGATGACAAGTGCTATAGACAGGCACAGTGTCATTAGGAGAGAGCTACTTGGAAGGTTAGAAACTGATCAGGTGAAACATGCATGTATTTCACCGTCAATGTGGAAATCAGATTTCTCTCTGGACACTTACTGCTGGCCCCTCAGCTGGCGAGAACGGAGAGATCTTTTCAGTTCTCTGCGGTTCTGTTCTGTTTGCTTGGTGACTTTGTCCACACTCTATAGAGTCAGCCTGGCTGATTCGCTGCTGATCGATGGCGCTTCCTGTCTCATGCTCTAGCCTGATGACAGGAAGCTCCCTGCACACTGTCCCCCAGTCCTGCAAAAAGGCTCGTCTCCGTAACAGCAGCAACAATATTGAAACTGAAGAGAGAGCAGGCAGTGTTCAGGGAGAGGTGCCAGAGACATGACGGAATTGCTATTGAAGGGGTTTGGGTACTGCAGTGATGGGTGGCCATATAAACCCTGAGACAGAAACAGGAGGGGGAACAGAGACAGGCCTGAGATAGTTGGAGTTGTTCTCTGACTTAAAACCCTTGAGTACATAGGGAGCTGGAAAATCCTTCTCCATATGAATGAAAGGGATTAAAAACAGCCCCAGACATGCTATTCCAAGGTCCTATAGCTGAAAATGGAAATTTAAAAAATTCTCCATTTAAAATAATTCTATTGACTGTGACCCTTTAAAATCATGTGATTTGTTGTTTGAATGTCACAAACGAACTTCATTACTTGTGTGGGCTGTATCTTTGCCTTTGTTAGGCTTGGTCTACACTAAACCCCCAAATCGAACTAAGGTACGCAGCTTCAGCTACGTGAATAACGTAGCTGAAGTTCGAAGTACCTTAGTTCGAACTTACCTCGGTCCACACGCGGCAGGCAGGCTCCCCCGTCGACTCTGCGGTACTCCTCTCGCCGAGCTGGAGTACCGCAGTCGACGGCGAGCACTTCCGGGTTCGACTTATCGCGTCCAGACAAGACGCGATAAGTCGAACCCAGAAGTTCGATTGCCAGCCGCCGAACTAGCGGCTGGGTATAGACGTACCCTTAATGAGGCTAAGGAACTAAACTCTGCTGTTCTCTCCGGCCCCTTCCCCTGTAGGAATCAGGAATCAGAGCTGGGTCTTGGCTTTTCAGGAGCGGGGTGGGGGTGGGAGCAAGAACAGCTTTCCGGCTCTGTAACGGAATGGGAGCCCGTTCTGGACGAGCTGTGTAAGAACTTTTAATTGCAGGGGAGTGTGCGGGAGTTAGTTTATGAACCTGACCCAGTTAACGAACAGGCTTGCCAAAGCAGTGCAGGGGGGTTACTGGAGAAGAAGGGGATGAGGTGCCACTTCATCTGCAGACAGGAATATGACGGTCATTTGAATCTGAGCGTGATTGACACGGAGTCCCACCTGCCTGCTTGTAACTGCGCTCAAGTCTGCAAACGCAGGAGCTGTTGGACTAGAGGAAACCTAAGAAGCACCCTGTGCTGGTGCATCGGTGGCTGCCCCTTTCAAGAGGGGAGTGATTTGCGGCTGTGCTGCACCTGGCCTAGTCACTTACACCAGGCAACAAAACTTCACAAGGTGCAGGGCAAAGGTGACGTGCTCTGGAAGGGTAGGCTTTGTGGTTGACAGTCTTGTCCGCTGGTTAGAGTAGGCAGCTAGGACTCCTGGGTTCTGTTCCCAGCTCTGCTTTGGGTAAACATGGGCAAATCATTTGACACTCTCTGTGCTTCAGTTTCCCCATCTATAAAATGGGGCTGATAACACTGACCTGTCTCAGGGGTTGTTTGTAAAGTGCTCTAAGATCCTTGGACGAAAGGTGCTGTATAAATGCAAAGTATTATTAATGTATCATCATCGCTCATGACGTTTTAGACCAAAAGACACGAAATCTCCCAGTTGCCCCATGAAATCCCCAGTCCAGCCTTTGTGAAGAACTTCCATAGACAAGTAAAGTTTGGGGAGGAAAATATTTTTTTTAAAGTATTATTTTTAGCTGTCATAACCTGTTAGTCTTTTTTAGAAGTGGTATCTGGACATTGTTCCACTTACCACATGATATGCAATGCTGTTCTATGCATGGATTATTCCTCTGGCTTGAATAGAGAAAACTTAACAATCAGTTTTTGAGATACATTTCTGTACCTGTATGGATTTAGATATGCTGTACAGTGGGCATGCTTAGAAGGTTCCACTGGCTTGAAAATTTGACCAATTCTTGAGCTATTCCCTCTCTTTAAAATGGGGTGTCCCACTAGAACCTTTCAAACAGAGGGGATGTTAAGGATGTGTATATTGTAGACACACACATGTATATGTGTATATAAATACATATAGTATATAGTTGTAAATAAACACAGAATGTAGAGGAACATTCTGTCTGTTGCCTTTAAAACACATTTTGCACTATAGAGTTTTATTTAGCTTTGCCTTGAATGAAATAAAAGTTTGTTTAATAGAGAAACTCTCCCTCGCCTGGGTTCTTTCTGATGTTGATTTGGGATCTTTGCAAAGCTCAGTGTGAATGCACGTGTGGATGTGCGGAGTGCAGCAGAAGTAGCAAGCACAGGATTTATTCCACCGCGGATCCGTCAGGGCTGATAGCCTCCCGCCCCTGAGGGGCCAAAACCTGAGACAGCATCTCCCAATTACCCATGCAGTGTGTGTGTGTGTGTGTGTGTGTGTGTGTGGGAATCCTTCCTGACCCTGGAGCCACTGGACTGCCATGAATCATGAGGCCTGACTGTGCTGGGTGAGTGCATTGTGCAGCAGTGAACCTTCCCAGGGAGCTGTAGGGATTATTAGTGTCATTGTTCGGGTGGGTTTTCTGTTCCAAATGATTCAGCTGGATGAGCCGAGTACCATGTTAATCTTTGTCGGGTGCGTCCATTGGGCAAAGCCTGTTCTCAGCTCAGCTGGGTGTTACCCCCCATGCTCTGCTCTCCCTGCGTGCTCACCATACCCCTGGCATCAGTGAGAGCGGAGAAAACCCTGCGCTCTTTCTGCCTTCCTCAGCTGAGCCCACGGGACCCTCTTTGGGCATCAGAGGGTCCTGTGGCACCTTTGAGACTAACAGAAGTATTGGGAGCATAAGCTTTCGTGGGTGAGAACCTCCCTTCTTCAGATGCAAGGCATGTGCGCTGCATAGCAAAGCCGAGAATCACCTGACCTTTAAAGCACCCTGTGAAAGTGAGAAACCCCCTGTCAGCTGCCTGGGTGACTAGTGGCGCCTGGAGCATCGGCACGCTCTGACTGATGCATCAAGAGGGAATGGTTCCAGAGCTGAGGGCCTGCCATCAAGGTGTGGCAGGAAGATCTAAGGGCCTGACCCAAAGCCCACTGAAGACTGGGAGACGCTATTGATTTTGAAGTGCTTTACATCAGGCTGTGAGAGGGGATCCCGCCTTTAGAAACACTTCTCTCTCTCTCCCCTTCCGCCCGCCAGGTCAGAGTTGGCTCTGGAATAAAACTGCAGCCACTTTGGAACAATACGACACCCAAGGGAATGGGGAGGGGGTGGAGCGATCGCCTCCCCTGGGTGCCACAAGAAACCGTGGGTGCCACAAGCAGCCCTGGCGGTGGCAGTGCCATGCGACATCCTTGGCATGCTGTCCCCGGTTCCACTGGGTCGCATGCAGCGGCGGTAGGACTAGTTCACTGGAAGGCGATGCTGACAGTGAAAGTTGGCACTAGCTAAGCCCCCGACTCTAGGTGCTTGAGTGAGGACAGGACAGGGCGACAAGGTGCTGAGCATGTGCCACTCAGTCACTATGTGCCCAATAGCCGGGCGGGGTAAGTGTGGCAAGGGATTATACAGGGCCTTGCACGTTCAGGCTCCTAGGTTCTGTTCCTGCCACCGCCACTGGCTCATGCCAGCAGCCTAGAGTGGCAATATTCTCTGTGGAGTGGCTCAGTGCATTAGGTTGCAGGATGATCTTGGCTGTGGCCCTGAGCGTAGGCCCAGCACTGTGCCAGACAGGGCTTTGGAGCAGAGCCCAGAGCTGGAGCGCAGAGCAGCTCTGGAGTAGTGGAGCCGCAGGTTTTTGCCTGGAGCTGGAGTGGAGACGGAGCACAGCTCCAAAGCCCTGGGGCCAGAAGCAGTGTGGTAGCATATTCAGAGCCGGTTAAAGGCACTTTGGATTTTACAAGACTGATGTAAATGGAAAACTGCTGCTTTGCTCTCCTTTTCGTCACAAAAGAACATGGCAATCCATCCAGGGTACTGAATGGTGATCATAGCAGGGGAGTTGGACTCGGGACTCCTCGGTTCTGTTCCTGGCCCTTACTTCCTCAGGGTGTGACCAGAGGTAAGTCTCTTCACCTCTCTGTAAACCGGGGAATCTGCTGCTGCCATCTTTTAAAGGGGTGTTGTAAGAATTAATGTTGGAAGGTGCGTTGAGATCCTGAGATGAAAAGTGCTGTAAAAAGGCAAAGTGTTTCTAACAGAAAGTTAATTGGAATGCTGGACACCCCCATGATCAAGTTAAAGGTGAATAGGCCGGATCCTTGTTAGAATAAGGATATATCAGAAAGTTGATTTGATTTAAAAAGCCCAAACAAATTAGTCATTTAAGATAATTCAAGATGACAGTGTCCCTCTAGAATAATGCAGTTTGCAAGCGAATGTCACAAGGCATTTTCTTAATTACTTCTGCACAATAAAGCTTTGTTCATGAGAGGAAGGGAATCAACTCTCTGATTGTTCTCCACCCCATCCCTTTTCCCATGGGAATCAGGAATCATGGCAAGGTGAGAGTAATCTTGGCATCTCAGAGGAATCATCGTTATTAGCAGAGGGTTAATGAGAGTGCTGTAACCCACTAGGATTTGCCTAAACACAAATGAACTTTTAAAGGGTATTTTTGTTTTTCCTTTCCTGGCTGCGCTCATAACTGGGTCTCTGTTCACCAAATCTCTGCTCTTCTGAAGAGCTCGTCCTTGACCCTCTCTCTGCTACTGTGGTTCCCATCGCGCAATGTTCTCCTCTCGAGCAGCCACTCCCACCAGCTACCAGCACCAGGCTGAGTAGGAGTTTGGAGAAGGGGCAGCAGCCGCAGTGGGGCCTGGAACAGAGACTCTGCCTCAGATTTTCAGAAATGGGAGATTTAAAGTAGGCTCCTAAATCGTTTTGTAGACACCGAAATTAGTGGCCTGATTTGGGGAGTTGCTGGGGGCTCAGCCCCTCTGAAATTTGGGTCCCTTCTGTTTAGGTGCCTGGCTGTGGACTCAGGAGCCTGCCTGAAAGCCTTCATTGTTGAAGATCTTGCGCTGAGCCTGGAGGAGCTGATGGGGGGGCTGGAGGCCTGCAGCAGGCACAGAGACGGGGCTGAGGCTACTAGTGTTTGGAAGCCTGTGGCTTTGAGAGGTTGTGGGAAATGCAGCATTTAAAAGAGCTCAGATGGCTAGTACAGGCTGAGACAGGTACAAGAGGCCAGATCCCTCCCTGGGGCAACCCCTTTGACTTCATTGGAGTATGATGCCAGGCCTGAACTGGGCCCACAGTGCTCTGGGACCTGTGGTAGAGCCTAGGCGTGCCCCCTGGTACTAGGCGCTGCACTGCCATGGGGGCACGGGCTGTGGGAAGTGCTTGAGCCCAGAAGGGCAGGGAATGAACATGAGCGATTCCCTTTTGAGTCAGGACTTCTCATCTGTGACCCGGTGGGGTCAGGGAACATGCTGCTGCCCTTACTGCTGTAGTGCTTGACAGACACGGCGACCCCGTTCCTGGGGCTGTGTCTGTGCCAAGCTTTACCGAGGGGAAGGGTGGCCGGCTCCAGCCCCTAGCTGCTAAAGCCAACAGTGAGTCGCTCCACCTAGCACCCGCAGGAACTTGGGCTCCTGAAATGGACTCAGGTGTGTGATTTGCAGGCAATGATGAGAAAACATGGCACTTCCATGACACCTGCTGCCCTGAGGGCTGCAGGCACTTCACAGGCACTAGCTGATTATCCCTCCCGGCACCCCAGAGAGGCAGATATTGTCCCCATTTCACAGATGGGAAACTGAGGCACAGAGCAGTGACATGACTTGTTCAAGGCCAATGAGGGAGCCTGTGCCAGAGCTGGGAGTAGGACGCATGTGGCTCCCACTGCAGGGTGCTCTGGGGAAACTCACTGGGGCACAATCATTAATTAATGAGATGCTGTGTGATTGCTGGTTTTGCTTTTAAACTCCTGTTGCGTCTGTCACACTCCACCGGGCCCCAGTGCTCGCCAGGACCCCGTGCAGCAGAGGCAGCAGAGAGCGCCGCGGGTCCAGTTATATGCTGCCTCTGGTGTTGCACTCTTGCTCTCCAGCCCACTTGCTGGGAATTCTTTCCTGAAATACAATTTGCTCTGTGTCTTTCCTCCCTCCCTTCCTCCTTTCCCATGGGTTCAGTCTCCAAGCCCCCGGCACCCGCCTGCAGCCTTGCTCAGAAGTGTCACCTTCAGCCTATTGATTTATGTCTCATGCACCCCGGAGAGGGACTTGCTCTTTGTTTCTGCCTCACAGGCTCATTGCAGGAGCCATGGGACGGAGAAGTGCCGAGTCTTGGCCCGAGAGCCAAGCAGATCATTGTCACCAAATGGTTTGTGTCAGATTTCTCATGTGGCCAATTGTCCTCTCGTGCCAACCACTTTTATGCTACGCTGGCCCCCCTGGAGTTGCACCGGAGGCGCTCTGGTTATCTCCGTTGTCCTGCCGAGATAAGTGGCAGACTCAGGTTTGAAGACGGGAGTTCCTGGCTCCCAGGTCTGTGCTCAGTTCACGGGTACATGCTGGTCTCATGTTCAAGGCATGAGATCATTTGTTTGTGGACCTGTAGTTATTACAGGGTTCAGCATAAGCCTTGGTGTCTCCTAAGGCTGATATTGAACTAAATATAATTGCTCATTCCGGTAACAATCACATCCCAGCAAACAGCCATCTGCATCCACAGCCCAGAACAGCACTTGTTCTGCCAACAGAAAATCATCCACGGTGGGGTACAAAATCGTGGGTTCTTATTTCAAATAAATGAAGAGGTTTGACAGGTGGCAGTGCAGCCCGTTTCCCAGCTGAGCCCTGGAGCTGGGCTTAAAAATGTGGAGATTTAAAGAGGAGTCAGAAAACCTCCATGTTCTGCAGGCCACGAAGAATGATTTCTGGCTAAGGCCACCGGTGGTGCTGGATGGGCCCCAAAGTCTGGTTCTGCTGGGATCAGAGTTTTGGATCTAGCCCATCTCTGCAGAGAGTAGGGATGACATCCTTTTGCAAAGGTCTTTTCCTAAAAAGAATAAACTTTTCCTGAGCGAGAACAGCCGGCGGGGGAAAGGCTTTGCTTGTTTCACTAACATTGCGATGGGGTAGAACTGGGCTGAGCAAACAGCAGCTTGGATCCAAGCAAACCTTCCTGTCGCGGCGGGGCTGTAGAGAGCAATATCCTCCTCTCCCGGGAGGTGCTCTGAGCCAGGCAAATTCCCTGGAGGTGACGGGGCCTCTGCTTGCAGCTCCCCTTTAACCACCCCCAGGATCCCGAGCCGCTGCTAAATCATGGCCTGGTGCTGGGCCTTCAGAAAGTGAACCCAGGGATGTGCAGGTCCCAGGGGCAATGGCTGGAAGTTAGTTTCCCAGCAGGTCTCAGAACCAGGGCAGCCAGGCGGGTAACGCAGGGGCCGTGACGGGAAGCTGCCGCTGCGGGAGTCCTCAGAGCTCTGACTGGAAGGTGAGACACACAAGAAATTAAAACCGGCAACACAAAAATGCAGGAAAACATTGAACCAAATTCTAGCCTCAGATGTCAATTCAGTTCCCAAGGAAACCAAAACACAGCCAGGTGTGAGGGTGGAACAGGCCCCATGATACTCCTGGCCCACCTGCTTCCATTCACCCCTTCAGTCCCCAGTTCCCTCCAGCCCCCACTAGCTGCTGTAGGGGCAATTCCCCACCGGCTGGGCAGGGGCCTCCAGGGCCCAGAGCCTGGGCAACAAAAAGCTCATCTAGAACGAGAATTGAGTCTTCCCGAAGGCCCTGTCTGTCCCCCTGCATCACCTGCCCTGTCCTCGCCAGGGAGCTTTGGCTAGCTAGAGTCTTCTCGGCCGGGAAGAGCAGAAATACACATCAGCTCCATTCAGCTGAGCTCACGCGTGCAGCTAGCAATGTCATGGCCCTGTTGATTAGCTAGCAGGCATTGTGGCACCAGCACCACGTGCCCCTCTCAGAGCGGGGGGGGGGGGGGAGGGCAAACTTTTTGGCTGAGGGCCACATCTGGGTATGGAAATTGTATGGTGGTCCATGAATGCCCAGTGGGGGAGGGGGACTCAATGGGGTGTAGCAGGGGGGGGCTCTATAAGGGATGTTACCGAGGTGTGGGGAGGAGGGACACGTGGGGTGGGGTGTGGTGTAAGGGGGTGGGAGGGGCTCATCAGGGGCAGTACTGGGGACTCCTAGGGGCCCTGCCGGCAATGACACCAAGGTGGCCATACCAGGCGCCACCACAGGTGGAGGTACCCTAGCTGGGACAGGGGCAGCCCCTGGGCATTTTCAAGACTCTTGAGGGTGGGGCCATAGGAGACCGGTAGGGGACTGGGCGTGCTGCTGCTGGGGGGGGGGGGGGCTGCCGCGTAGTCGGGGGCTGCTGCGTAGGGATGGGGTTCCGATTCTAGAAACAGCGCCTGTGCAGTGTGGCTTTGCGCATGCCGGGAGATGGTGCTCATCAAGGGAATTGTGAGTCGGGGGCTGGAGAGCGCCAGGCGGCCAGAGCAGGGCAAGACCCCGCCCCTGCTCCCCGGCGGGAGCTTGAGGACCAGATAAAAAACGTCTGATGGGCTGTAAGCAGCCCGCGGGCCCTAGTTTGCCCAGCCCTGTCTCAGATCCTACTGCTGAGGGGTCAGGGCCTGAAGCCAGATCTCCTGCTTAGTGGCACTCGGCGTGTTGGGGAAGCCTAGGAGCAGCAAACACTTTGGATTTTTGACTAGCTCAGCGCCCAGGAGCAATGTATGGGTTTTTTTTTCCTGAGGAACTAAACACTAAGAAGCCCTTGCTAGCCCCCATCAATGTAGTTCTGCTGCTGTGCAAGCCAGATAGTTCATGGACTCTTGCTACCTCTGTCCCAGCCATGGTGCGGTATGCAAACCCCACCAGCCCTGGGGCAGTGAGCGTTCTGGTGGGCATGGCTGGGGCATGCATGTGGCCTGGCCATTCTGTGCTGTTGCAGTAACAGTGTAGGGCAGGTCATGGGGCTGCCCTTGGCCATGCCAGGAGCTCAGCTGGCCTCTGGCACTCACAGCATAGGGGTGGCACAAGCTGCCAGCCCTGGAGCAGGGAGGAATCTGCTCGCGATCAGTGTCAGGTTTCAGAGACAAGGATGCTGACCCTCTGAATGGTGTAGATCCAGTTGAGGTAGGCCTGCACTTTGGTGTAGACGCCGGGAGTGCTTGGTCTGCCACAGCCATGTCCCCAGCTGACGATCCCCACCAGCTGCCAGTGCCCGGGATTGTACATCAAGGGGCCGCCGCTGTCTCCCTGGGAGGGGGACACACAAGCAGGCATTACAGAGAACCCTGCTGCTCCCCATCCCCTGCTCCTCTCCAGATATCAGTGGCTATGGAGGAAGGAGAGCTCGGCCCAAGATATAAAGTTCAGGACTGGTGAAGCCCATATGTACGCAGTGTGACCTTACCATAACGGCCAAGGGCCCTGGAGCCGGAGCGTCAGAAGTGACCAGTGAGCTGAGGGGGCAAACTTGAAACACCTTAGAGGGGCCTGATTTTCAGGGGGCAGGTGCTCAGTGCTTTCTGAAAATCAGACTCATTCAAAATCTTGACCCAGCCTCCCTTCTGCCTACACAACACCCAGTGACTGTGGCCCAATCCCACAGGCTAGCAAGGACCCTGAACGCTCCTGGAATTAGAGGGATGTTATTCAGGGCTCCACGCTGCTCCTCTTCAGAGGGGCTGCGGGAACGAGCATGCAGGATTTACACCTGAGCTTCCACCTCAGCGGCAAGAAGAACACATTTTCAAAGGTGAGAAAGGTACTCACCTGGCAGGTATCCACGCCGCCTTCCATGAGGCCTGCACATATCATCTTATCGGAGACTTCCCCCTGGTAGGCGGCGAGAGCATTGCAGGTGTTGCTGTCAATCAGTTTGATCTGCGCCTGCTGCAGAGCCTTGGACAATGTACCTCGATAAAAGATACACAAATGAGAGCTTCCACCCTGCCTCTCTGAGCGCCAGGGCTAAAGAGCAGTTTTCAGTTCTGTGCGGTAGAGAACTAACCTACTGAACTCACCATCCTGCTGTGTGTAGCCCCAGCCTGTCACCCACAGTGGGGCGTTAGAGGGCAGTTCCTCATCAAAAAAAGGAAGACAAATTGGCTTAACTGTGTCTGGAAGGGAGAGAATATGAACAGACAGAATCAGGAGAGAGGGTCTCAATTCTAGGCTTGTGAAGAAATGATCGCCTGGCTGCCCAGGCACTAGAGATGGATCATCTTACACTCGTGACAGAATTATCAGAGTGGGTTTTACACAATCACTTGACAGGCCTGATGCAGTGAGTGTGTTCTGTCGAGTTCTGGCAGGTCAGGCACATTCACACACACACATTTGTCTGGCCAGTCAGGTGCAGCCACTGCAGGCCGCTACGTCACACACGTTGATTTACTAACAGCACCATTCGCACACTGGTGTTTCACGCAGCCCCAGATGGACTTATCCATCTCCTTCTCGTGTCCTCAGAGCCTTTGACTTGTGCCTGTCCCATGTCATGCACTCCCCACTTTGCCAAAGCAGAGGATCGGGCCCTATCGCGCATTTAGACAAATCCATAGGCAATGGATGCCAAGGAATTTATGTGGGGTGCTTATTTCAAAGAAGTTTCTGAAAGTGATTTTAGAGAGTATACTCTCGCTCACCTGAAATACTTAAGGGAGACGTCAGCTTTACCAGGGCGATGTCATTATCTTTGGGCAACATATAATTACTGTCAATGATGAAGATCTTTTCCACAGGGATAGTGTTGGAGTTGGAGAGGATTTCGGATCCTGCTTTCACACGCCAGTTCTGAAGGGCCTGATTGTTCCTATGCACAAATTCAGCCAATGGTTAGTGGCTCTTCTCCTTCCGTGACCTCCATAATGATAGTTGCTCATGTGAGATGTAGAGAGGTCAAATATGCCTTGAAATATATTGGTAATAAGAACTATAGCTCCCTCTCTGCCCCTTAGTCAGGAAGCAACGAATCACCCTTCACGACATGCAGAATTGTTCTGTGTAGCTCAAAACTCGTCTCTCCCCAACAGAAGTTGGTCCAATAAAAGATATAAAGGAGAGGGGAATCAAGTAAACTGTCTAAGGGATAACTTGCTGCGAGACCCAGAATACAAAATGTTCCTGGATGAGCCAAGAAATCCAAACAAACTAGCTTTCATCTGAACTCTGAAGCTGCACATTTGTTTGCTTTATGGCTCAAAGGCACTGTCACTCTCTATATGGATAATCTGTCTTGTTCCTTCAAAAGAATGGCTCATGTATTACTGTAAGCCTTGAAGAATGTGAAATGAAAGGCATTAGATATAACCAAAGAATATACAGACTAGGTCCACTAAGATTAGAGGAACTATAAGGAATTTTATGTGTTTTCTTTCTAAACTATTGTTGCATTACAGACAGGACATGACTTGTAAGGCACAAGAAGCAAAGAGAACCCTGAAAGATATAAGCGCCTAACCAGAGTTTAATTTTGAAATATTAAAAGAAATTGCATAAAGATGGGGGAATTCCAGTTACTGGCAGGAGTTAAAGGTTGGCTGCATTTCACACGTACTTTACACACGCTCTGCACTGGTGAAATGACAGCCCAGCGGGCGGGGAACTCAGCCCATAGTGTGTACACAGCCAGGCTGGCTGCGCTGCAGAGCTGCCGAGCACCTCCCACTCCCCCGGACTGCAGCTGGAGTTACGGGCACTCAGCACAGCTTGTTGACGTGAAATGACTTTTTGACTAACTGGAAGGTGTTGTGAGAAAATGTCTCGATTGTGGAAATTTTGGGGCTTTCACAAACAAATCCCAAACTGATTTTTTTTTTGACAACTGAAAACCAAAAAACATTTGGTTTATTCAATTTTTCAATAATTGCCCCCCCCCCCAAATTCACAATTTTTAAAAATGAATATGATTTTTTTCCATTTTCAACAAAACATTTCCTGGAATGTAAAATGCCCTTTCCAAGCAGCTCTAGCCCTCAGCTCCAGCTCCCCCAGTATTTATACACTTAATGTACAGTTTGTAGTCTCGTCTTGTGTGCGCGGTTCATGTGAGTCCCCCACCCACAATTCCCAGTGGGGTTGCACTGGGTGACTCACCTGAAGCAATGTGCTGCTGTGAGAATCCACCTCGGGTCAATGATGCTGCCCCCACAGAGGTGCTGGGTTTTGTGCTGTAAACTGACCTGCCATGGCCAAGTGTAGATCCTGGCCTGGCCCCCACCAACCACCCGTGGAGATTTCACGCTTTCTCCGCAGGCTGCATCCAAGGATAAGAGATAAATCAACATCTTAGCTCAGCACGTGGGAGAGTGACTCCCCCCTCCCCCCGCCACCGCCCGAGAACGTGCCTTTTGGGGGGGAAATACATGTTCCAGACCTGTCTGTGCAGACTGTACTCCTATGAGCCAAAGAGCTGGTAAAGAACATATATGTATATGTGTGTTTGTGTGTATTGCCTTCCATTGACACTGCAGGGCTCACACATATATCACAGACTCTGTAGCTTTCTTTAGAATTTTGCCACACTTGCTTAAATCAATTTATTTATTCTCTTCCCTTTCATACTAAACCTTAATTGGCTTAGCATAATTAATTAGATAATTCACCTGCACTAGCTAACCCAGTGTAAGTAGGGGTTACGCCATAAGTGCGTCTACATTAGTTTTTGCACTGCTTTAGCTGGATAGATTTTAAATCGTTGGTGTTAAGCCAACTTTTCTAGTACAGACAAGGACTGGAATGATGACAGCGCTGTCACTACTGCCCGGGGCTGGATTTGAATCAGTGCCCAGTGTCACACCTCGTGACATACGAATGGCACAGACCAGCTGCACGTCCTTCCACTGCTCCATAACTACCAGCTCTGGCGGCTCCGTGCTTGTGCTGGACCCAGACCTCATACCACATCTGTCCACATGAAACTCCGCAAGCCAAATCCTGCACTCCTGAGTATGAGTCCAGGTTGGAGTTGGCCCGAGTAAAGACTAGGTAAGAATGGTGCCAGGATTTGTCGAACCGGCTGCTGCTCTCTGCATTAGTAGGGGCATGGCCAGCAGATGGAGGGAAGTGATCATTCCCCTCTATTCGGCACTGGGGCATCCACACCTGGAGTATTGTGTCCAGTTTTGGTCCCCCCACTACAGAAGGGATGTGGACAAATTGGAGAGAGTCCAGCAGAGGGCAATGAAAATGATCAGGGGGCTGGGGCACATGACTTATGAGGAGAGGCCGAGGGAACTGGGGTTATTTAGTCTGCAGAAGCGTGACGGGGAATTTGATAGCAGCCTTCAACTACCTGAAGGGGGGGTTCCAAAGAGGATGGAGCTCGGCTGTTCTCAGTGGTGGCAGATGACAGAACAAGGAGCAATGGTCTCAAGTTGCAGTGGGGGAGGTCTAGGTTGGATATTAGGAAACACTATGTCACTAGGAGGGTGGTGAAGCACTGGAATGGGTTACCTAGGGAGGTGGTGGAATCTCCTTCCTTGGAGGTTTTTAAGGTCAGGCTTGACGAAGCCCTGGCTGGGATGATTTAGCTGGGGATTGGTCCTGCTTTGAGCAGGGGGTTGGATTAGATGACCTCCTGAGGTCCCTTCTAACTCTGATATTCTATGGTTAGTGTTAATAACAGAATCACACTTACTGCCACATGCGAGTGAAACCACGGATCCAGAGAGGCACTGCCTGGAACAGGAAAATGGCATGTTAACTGCTACGTTTCTCACAGCACGTCTCTGCCCGTGGGCTATAGGGTTTGCACATGACATCGGTTAGTACGCGGTTACCTTGAAATCAGCCCTTCAGCCTGTGGACTGAACCCCTCACCCCAACGTGTGAATCCTGCTCATCTTACGGCTGTGAGGAGTCTCCTCACACCCAGGGGGTTTGCTCAGAGGAGCGAAGGGCACCGCTGACGGTTCTGGGTTCCGGATTGGCCGTGTTCCTGAGCTGTGCCAAGTTTATAAAGTCCGTGTGGACTGAAGCAGCAGCGCTTGAAGCTGCACCTTGCGACGAACTCTGCAGTGACCACCACAGAGACGACAAACTCTGCAGGGGCTGGGCTGACAGTTGGTGGGTCAGCAGCTGGCTTGGGCCCAGGCCCTGGGGAGTTCACTGTGCAGAGTGAGGCGGCTGCAGAGCTGAGCAGTCTCCTCTTGTGCACTAACCCTGCCTGGCCCTGCTCTGGGCAGGGGAGGAGAGGCTGGGGTCAGAGGCTTCCCCACCAGGCCACCCCCAGCAAGTGGCTCCTACGTTCCCCTGGTTTGGCAAGGTGTGGCTGTGCTCCTAATGAGGCCCCGGCCGGGGTGTGTCAATGGGCAGCCAGGGCCAGAAGCACCTCACAGGCCATTGCCTGGCAGAAAGGTCCCGCTCAGGGCACAGAAATCCTGTCCCATCGGCATGGCGTGTGGGGCTGTGTGGCTCTGAGCCCGCCCAGGTTCAGCGGCTCCCCAGCGTAGTGGTGTCCACACACCGCGGTGAGGCCCTCAGTTACTGACCTGTCGCTGACGGGTCAGCGTGAACCAGGGCAGACTGTGGGAGCTGGTCATGATTAAACCTTGTTCCCAGCAAGGGAACATCTCTGTCCCTGGCTCCAAGGGATTTCAGTAGCACTCTGGGGCCTGCTTATAGGTCAGCATCACTAACAGAGCACAGGCCTGTGGCTACTGGGGAGCTGGTCAGTCAAGACATTTGGGGGGTGTCATGGGAACCGTCAGCAATGTGTGTGCCAGCCAGCTGTGTTGAATCACGGGCACCGGCTGACCATCCTCTATAAACCTCATGGAGAAAGGGGTGGTCTGAGCACAGGGCTGGGTGCCAGGAACACATCCTGGGCTTCATTTCTGACGCTGATCCCCTCTGTGGCCTTAGACAAGCATGTGCCTCAGTTTCTCAACTGTAGCATGGGGAGAGTGGCACAGAGCTGCCTCCTGCGCTGAGGAGCAGAGCAGGAATATTGCCTATAAAGTGCGACGAGCAAGGAAACGCTGTCTAAGCGCTAAGGCTAAGAACTGTTGCTGCTCTGCTGTCAGCCCAGGAGCGAGCCCTGCTGATCTCAGCAGCCCTCCTCCGCGAGATGCACTGAAACAGCCAAGTTAATCCATTAAAACCAGATCATCTACTGGTTGCTCTTCCACTCACCTGCCAGAGTCTTGCCCTCGGAGGACCCCATTGTTCACCATGACCTCCCTGAGGGGCAGGCCCTGTGTGTCTGCAAGGTCCACAGCGCTGAACGTGGGGACGCTGGAAAATACAGACAGTGTTTGATCAAAGTGGCCCCGTACCAGCAGCACAGCCAGTGGCAGTGGAGCCCATGCCGGCCTGTGCCTGCCTCCATCCAAGCGGTGAGTGGCAGAGACGCTAGGACCTCCCAGCTGCCGGGCCAGTGAGGGAGCAGTGCGTCGTGGGACATGACATTTCCCTGTTAAAGTTTGGGGTGGCCACGGCAATCTGCCTCCATTCATATGGCTTTGTGGCTCCTGGCAAAGTGCCAGTGCTCCCCTCAGTTGGGCAAAGCTGGGGATTCTGGCCCAGTGGGTTTGTGAGAAGACAGGAGCTCACAGACTGAGCCCACGAGGGGTCCCTGCAAGGAGAACGTGGCCCCTCACGGGCAGGGGGACTGCGTCTGGGCCAGCTGCCCAGGAAGGACAACACTCGGGGAGAAAGCTGCTGCCGGCCAGCATGCACCGTACAATGGACAGGTGCTGCTCTGGCTGAACCCCTCTCAGCTCGGATCATCTTGGGGAAGGGGAAGGGCAGGTCTGTCTCTGTACCGCGCCAGAGCATGTCTGGCTTCGCTTCAGGGCACTCGCTCTGGAGTTACAACATGCACCACAGGAGAAAGGACCAGTGAAAAGAGGGTGAAGGAGAGAAAGAAGCAAGAAGAAGGCAGAGAAAAACAGGGAAAGAAGAAGGAAAGAAAAACAACCCGAATGGCCACAGCGAAGGGGAGACCCCAAACCCGCTGCTTGCCCCAAACAACCACAGAATCCTGGAGCGTCACTTGCAAAGTGCAAGCTCAGCAGGCCCAGGGCAGCTCAGAGACCTGCCAGTGCCAACTCCCTCGCTGCCGGGTGGAGGCTGTTCCAGCTGGTGGAGCTGGTATGGCTGAGGAACAAAGGGCAGCCTTTCGTGTTAAAATAAGTATTGCAGATGGACGCCCTTCTTGCTGGTCCCTGCAGCAAACGCACCCCAGGAAGGAGCCCATGGGAGACTGGAGGTCAGGTGTGTGCTTTATCTTTTACTTTCATTTCCACTTGTGTCAGGAATTGAAAGCTTCTCAAGTTTCATGCCCAGTGGGGTTCCTGGAGAGTGTATTGATTTGCCAGACTCCCCTGCTGATGGCACTTTACATGCTCACCTGCTAGTAAAATGCATCAGCTGCTGCTTGAGTGGAAAGGACTCTGGGTCTGGGGAAGATGCAGTGTGAAAACAATCAGGCTGGGATTTTCAAAGGAGCCTAAGGGAGTTAGTTGCTCATAATCTTTTGCCGGTTCTCACCCTAGTTGGTATTTTGCTTAAGCCCCAGTTCCTTGAATCAGGAATTAGGTGAGAATCCTCGCTTTTATTTGTTAAAGAAGTAAGTTTTTAGCCCCCATGACCATGGAGAAACATTTGCAAACTTGAACCTTAAAGGCTCCAACATCAGAAGGAGGAAAAAACAAACAAAAACCCAACCCCTCCAACACGCCCCAATGTATTATTTAAAAAAAAAAACACCTCATGCTTTTTAGCCAATCTCATGATTTTTGGATGCTCAGGGTTGGCCAGGCTCCTTAGAAAATCCTGGCTTTAATTAGCTATGCAGTATTAGTTCAGCTCTGTTCACTGAAAAGAGCTGGTGCAGGCTAGAGAGGGGAGACAGAGCCTTTCACAGCTAGCTTGTTCTTTCCGATCTGGCTCTGGTTGGGGGTTAGCAACACCCAGAATCCCTGGATGGCAGCTTGGGGTCCTGCATGAAATGACTGTGGGGATATCAGAGTGCTTAACACAGGCCAGCCCAGCTGTTTGTGCCCTCAATCCTTTAAGGCTGGGAGTACTGGAGGCGGGAATAGCACTCTGATATCATGTGACTGATCATGTGGGCAAGGCAGGCTATAAAAGGCAGAGCCTGGTACTCACTCAGAGAAAGGTGAAGTAGGAAGGTGCTGGGTTGGGTGGCTGGTTACAGAGCTGGGTAGAATGGCAATGGCTAAGAGGTCAGGGGGATTGGGGATCCTCCCTGTGCAGGGGGAGGACCTCAGGAGCAAGACTAGTGGCAGAGCTGGCTAGGGAGAGGCAGAGAAGCCCTGATCTGAGGGTGACTGTGTAACTGCGGGAAGGGCTGTGGGGAGACAACTACAAGGACACAAGGCTAGGTGTGCTTCTGTGCTGTTTGAGATGATAAATGGAAGCCCAGCAGGGGAGACCTGAGGGATTGCACTGGGTGCGTGAGACTATATGAAGTCAGGTCCTGGAGAAGCAGGAAAACTGAGGCCCAGGGCCACAGGCAGGGAGGCAGGGCTACTGGGAGTTTGTCTAGGTGCCTGCATCCCCAAAGCCATGCACTTCCTCAGCAGAGAGGAAGGACTGAATGGGCCCCAGAGGCTGCGCTCCTGCTCCTGCCTACAGGGGCAGTGAAGGGGACACCTGGGCTGTCCCTGCTCTGTGGAGAGAGGACACTGGGCCAGAGCTTTGCATGCTACTGAGCATTAATCGTTATCTCAAATATCCCCCCAGGAAAGGTTTTTGTTAAAGGGGCAGTGAGCTCCATACCAATGAAAGAAGAAGGAAAGGGATGACCAGGAAGCCAGAGAGCAGGGGGAGTGAGATGGAAGGCAGGTACCTGCTGTAGCCCATTTGCTTGCAAGCTGCTTTTGCCAGGGCCATATGAAAGTTATCGTGACATGCCCAGAACCAGGCTCCAGTCTCTTTGTTTAGCACCTGCAAGGTGGATCTGTCTTTGGAAACGCGGACTAGGGAGAAAAACAGAGTCGGCTGCAGTTTGGCACATTTGCAGTATCTGGTTTCAGAGTAGCAGCCGTGTTACTCCTGTTCTTTTTGGGGATACAGACTAGTTGTGGCACCTTAGAGACTAACAAATTTATTTAGCATAAGCTTTCGTGGGCTACAGCCCACTTCTTCGGATGCACAGAATGGAACACATGAGGATTTTCTCTCTCTCTCTGGGAGTTGTCCTACCAACTCTAAGAGGTTAATTAAATAAGAGAGGGGGAGAAGAAAAAACTTTTGTCCCTGGTACAGCCATTGGCCCCTGGTTACCGTGATTTCTAAGAGCTCTGAATGCTGCTTTGTGCTCCCTGCCGTGCTGTACATGGCATTGCTGGCATAACATCCACAACTCACCTCCCACGGGTGGGCCTTCTGGGACCTGCTGAACACACTTCTGCTCGTCCTCTCCCCAGGAGCAATCTTCCTGCCCATTACACTGCTGCTGCAGGGGGATGAACTTGATTGTCTTGCTGCAGAGGAAGTAGTAGTGTTCCAGAGTTGCCTTGACTAGAGGGGAAAGGGACAGAGTCCAACTTGGTCTGTGACGTTTGGCTCATGTTTGCCAGGGAACGTTGGGGGGGTGGGTTTAAATCTTTGTTGCAAATGGCTTCTCCTGAGAGCAAGGGGTTTGGCAGCACCCATTCTGCAGGCCTGTGAGTGGGGGGAAGCTTTCCACGCATGCTCTCCCAGTGCAGATTCAGGTCTGGCTTAAGCCATGTGCTGAGCTTTTCAAGCTACGTAGGGATGCTGGACACACACCCAAGAGCTCTAGGGGCCAGGTGGATACCAGGAGGGGGTGTGTGTGTTTTAGATGCACAGTGCCTCCGTGACACAGGGAGGGAGCATGTCTCTGCACCAGCCCATAGCGGTGCCCCCTACCCATCCAGCTAACTCAGCTGGCCAGTGCAGTGGGGGTAAGCATAGCCCTGCAGCATTCCCATTGCCCTGGGGGCAGTAGCAGGGAGTGAGCTGTGCACTTGGGCCCAGTTGTGCCTGGCTTCTGCACAGAGTTATGTTCATGGCATACGCACACAGAGATGAGATCTCTCGATGGAAGCTTGTGACGTAACACAATTTTATTTCTTAGCATTGAGAACAAGAACTCAAAAACAGAAGGAGAAAACAGGCTGCTCCCTAGGGCGATGAGATACCCCACTGTGCTTTAAGCTGTCTGTTTCCAGCCTGGCAGACCTGACTCCACTTGCAGGCATTACTACAGAGCCCCAGAGCCTGCACGCAGGACCAGGGAACCCCTCCACTCTTAAAGCAACAGCTTGCAAAATTCCAACAGTCCTCAATACACCCCCCATAGGAGGGCAAAGGTTCCTTGCAGTTTGTCCCCCAACTTCTGCATAAACACTGGAGTCAGACACAACCTGGCCCAAAGGCGGCATTAGGATGAGATCCCTGAGGATAGAGTCGTCCCTCCCCCCAAACCCTGGATCCCAACAGCCCCAGGCTTTGGGAGGGGGCTGGGATCTGGATCTGAAGTTTGCATCTCGCCCTGTTTCTCCCCAAATTATACTGGCCTCTGCAGGCGTGAGGTTCTGTTTCTGCAGGGGAAAGGCTGTCGCCTCAGGCGCTATCACTACAGTGCCTTGTCAGGCGTGCTCTGGCCAAGACTGCTCGGGCACCTGGTGGAGTGTGGAGCAAGAGGGAAGTGTGGCTGCTGTGCAAGCCCCCAGCATGCAAGTGGGACAGGAGAGAAGGGACCTTACTTAGGAAGGCAATTGCAATGATGGTGGCCATGCTCAGGATGGTGGCAATGAGCGGGATGCCAAATCGCTTGAAGTTTTGTGTCACGGTTGGGGGTTTGCGTGCCGGAGGAGGACCTGCAACACAGAGAGCAGCTCATGAGCACGTGGTCTTGGAGCACAGCCCAGCACAGTTAGCAACACTTACAACCCCGCCTGAGACCCGTAAGGCCATTACCTCTCCTGTTCAGGGGCCACTCAGAATCTGTGTCCTGCAAATGGAAGGGAACAGCAGTCAGTGAACTGAATACATGCATTAAAAGGAGGGTTCCTGGGATGGGAGTCTGTGTGCATGGTGCAGGGCTGCTTGCTTGGCTACCAAAGACCTTGATCCTAACTGATCTAAAGCCCCTTGAAGTCAGGGGAGTCTTTCCACTGGATCTGGCCATGGTCTCCCCATGGAATGACCCTGGTGATTTCTGTTAAAGGCTAAGGCCCCAATTCTGCTTTTGCTCATGTAACCGAATATCCCCGAGAAGTCTGTGTTGTCACCACATGCTTGTCTCCTCAAAGCCTATACGGCTCGGCTGTCCCAGGTGCTGTGCTCCTGCAGCTCCCAGGCACCGCAAGGAGAGACTCCTGGCCATTGTGTTCTGGACCTTGATATTATTCCACCATATTTGGGCCTTAGATACTGAGGGGACAGGCACCTGAGAAATACCCTGGAGATGAGATGAACTAGGATATGCCAAATGGGGGGAAGTTCCTGCATGTTCCCATTTCACCTACAAGGTGACAGCGCAGCAATCGTTTGGCTGCAGTGACCTGGCTGTGATGCATTGTTCTGTGCGTCTCACAAGACCTCCCAGGTCGCTAAGGGTGACCAGACAGCAAGTGTAAAAAATCAGGACGGGGGTGGGGGGTAATAGGAGCCTATATAAGAAAAAGCCCCCAAAATCGGGACTGTCCCTATAAAATCGGGACATCTGGTCACCCTGCTAAGGGCATACGCAGGGGAATAGTCCCGCTGATTAGGCTACTCACCTGCTTAAAGTGAAGCATGTGATCGTTTCCCCTTGACTTTAGTGAGGCTTTAGACACAGTCCCACATGACAGCCTCATAAGCAAACTAGGGAAATGTGGCCTAGGTGCAATTAGTGTAACGTGGGTGCACAACTGGTTGAAGAACCGTATTCAAAGAGTCGTTCTCATTGGTTCGCTGTCAAACTGGGAGACTGTATGTAGTGGGGTCCCCCAGGGATCAGTCGTGGGGCTGGTGCTAGTCAGCGTTTTCATTAGTGACTTGGACAATGGAGTAGAGTGTGCGCTTATAAAACGTGTGGATGACACCCAGCTGGAGGGGTTGCAAGCACGTTGGAGGACAGGATTAGAACTCAAAATGGCCTTGACAAATGGGAGAATCAGTCTGACATCAACAAGTTGAAACTTGATAAAGATAAGTGCAAAACGGGGAAAAACTGGCTAGGTCAGGGGTTCTCAAACAGGGGGTTGCGAGGTTATTACATGGGAGGAGTCAACCTCCACCCCAAATCCCGCTTTGCCTCCAGCATTTATAATGGTGTTAAATATATAAAAAAGTGTTTTTAATGTATAAGGGGGGTCACATGCAGAGGGTTCCTATGTGAAGGGGGTCACCAGTAAAAAAAGTTTGAGAGCCACTGAACTAGGTGATCGTACTGCTGAAAAGGAACTGGGGGTTTTAGCGGTTGACAAACTGAATAAATCAACAACATGATGCAGTTGTGAAAAAGGCTAATATCATTCTGGGGTGTATTAACAGGAGTGCTGTATGTAAGACATGGGAGGTCATTGTCTCACTCTACTTGGCAGTGGTGAGGCCTCAGCTGGGCACTGCACTTTAGGAAAGATGTGGACAAATGGGAGAGAGTCCAGAGGAGAACAACAAAAACGATAAAGGGTTTAGAAAATCTCACCTATGAGAAAAAGTTGAAAAAACTGGATCTGTTTAGTCATACGAAAAGAAGACTGAGGGGGGACCTGAGAAGAGTCTTGAACTATGTTAAGGGCTGTTATAAAGAGGACGGTGATCAACTGTTCTCCATGTTCACTGAAGGCAGGACAAGAAGTAATGGGATTAATCTGCAGTACGGTTAGATATTAGGAAAACCTTTTTAACTCTCTGGGTAGTTAAACTCTGGAACAGGCTCCAAGGCAGGTTGTCCAATCCCTGTCACCAAAGGTTTTTAAGAACAGAGGACAAACACCTGTCAGGGAGGGCCTGGGTTTATTTGGTCCTGTCTCCGTGCAGGGCTGGACTCGATGACCTGTTGATGGCCCTGCCAGCCCCACATTTCTGTGGTTCTATGTGTGAGGGTGCTTTGTAGGATCAGGGCCTGACGCCTCAGCCTGTGCAATTTTTTCCACAGTTAATTGAAAACAAACTAACAACAAAGAAAAAAATAACCCCATGGAAACCCAGCATGTCATTTTCCAACAGAACAAAGGCTACAATTGTCTGGGGAACTTGTTACAAAGTCCAGGTAGAGTCTCTGAGTTGGCAGTGCCAAGGAACAGCTTGCATCATCTCAGCATCACTGAACTGTATTGAGAAGCTGTGCAGAATTAAAAGTCTGGGCACAGACAGAGCAGAGGGGCTGCCCGAGGTCTGATTCAAGGGGATGTGAAGATCTAGGCTAGGGATTAACTACAGCTAGGCCTCAGCCATCTGACTGAGAACCAGATTTCACACCGCAGGAGCAAAGGTTTTGAATTCAACCCATGTTAAAAATAGGGATGAAAAATTCAGAACTAGATCGAGGTGCAGATTTGACAGCACTCCTAGTGCCTGGGTGATGGAGTCAAGGTTTGTTCTGGGGCTCTCTTGGTTGGCCGGAAGTGGCCTCTCTTGCCTGCCTGAGAGTTTCCTGAGCCCCCCTAACTGCACTTCCAGGGGCAACTTCGATCGTGTCCAAGGGCGTGCAGGAAGCACTGGTTGGTAGCAGAGGGAGACGAGGGCATTGGTGTGTGGGCGATTCTGGCCCTGGAAAGAACTTTGCTGACCCTGCCATTCCGTGCAGGCTGGTGCACTGTGCGACTAGCCTAACGAATACCCAGGCAGGGGACGAACTTCGGAGAAAGGCAAATCCCCCATCCCCCAGCTCCGGAATAAAGCAGGCTGCATAGCAGCAAGGGGCAGGTGGCTTTTCCAGTGTACCGGTCTTGCATTGCCGCCCAGGTCCAATTTGATGGCTTGGGCTGCCCCATGCCCCGAGGCTGTTCCTGTGTCTTTTGCCTTTCTCCATCATGCTGTGCATGTCTGCGTGGTCCCTGCAGAGCGGGGCGGGGAATCCACCCCCAGCCTCTTGGGACAAACAGTAGAAAGACGAGCAGGGACAGCTATTGCAGCTGCTAGGAGACGTGTCAACAAACCCCTTTGCAGCAACCAGTCTCAGGAGAAAGTGACAAATAAGACACTAAGTCCCCTCCATCTCTCCACACCTGATTACAGAAGGAGAAGCTTTGCCTTGGGAGCAGCCGAGCTTTTCTCTGGTTGATGTATTGATGCTAACCAGAGAGAGTCAGGGCAGCGTGGCTGGACTTTCATGTGGACGCCGTACATGTGCATGGATGCCTTTGCTGTGCTGCCGAGAGCTGCCCTCTGACCCTGGGTGCTCTCACTTTCAAAGCAAGCTCCTGGCCTATGGAAATCGGCCCGTTTCCATGTCACTTTAATGTCCCTTCCTGCCCTGCGCGAGACCATTCCCTCCAGTGTCTCTGCTGGACACTGCAATGGCAGGTAAGCGTCAGGGCTCTGTGCTGGGGCTGTGTCCAGGAGGAGCAGGGAGAAGGGGGGTCAAATTCTAAGACAAAATGGCCCACAAAGGAGACAGATTCAACACGGACTGAGATTCAGGAGCCTGGGAGCAGGGATGGGAGCTGCTTGTCGAGTGGGGGAGGGGGTTGTGTGATGTCAGACTTCTCAGCTGTTCGCTGTTGTTAATCATTTGCAGGGTTGCCCACCCCGAGCATTTAAAAATCACGAGTCAGGCCCCCACAATCATGGGCTCCAAAACATAGTAAATGGTGGTGGTATTTTCTCTTTGCCTCCTGCTTTCTGAGCCGCTGGGACGCATTCAGCTTGTCAGAATTCTCTCCACAGCCACCAGGGCTTAGAGGCTGACTTTTTGCTTTAACTGAAAGCTGCGATTCTCGTGTAGTCGTGGAGCGGGGCGTTAAGAAAAGCAGCAGATATTGTGGGGCCTGGGATAAAGCCACGCGGGGCAGCGCAGAGAGCGGGCGATCGGCAGTGCCATGGGGGCAGTGCTGCTCCGTGTGTTCGAGCAGGGTGCAGACTTGCCCACTGGCCTGGGCGCTCAGCCGCGCCTTACACTGACGGGGAACATCTCCACCAAGGGAGGGGCTGGGACTCCTCAGCTCCGAGAACTGACAGGTCAATGCTCACTTTGCAGCCACTGGCTTATGACCGTCCCCACTCGCCCTGCACCCGTGATGCTATTTACACCCATGCAAATGAAGAGCAAAACGGGCATGAAATGCCAGCTCAGATTCTCCCACCCCACACTTACGCCAGAGGGAGCATTTTCACACCCACCCTGCTCTGCGTTGCCCAGGTGCAAACCACTGCACAAGCTGTGGGGCTGAAGGAATCCGGCTGCATTGCCTTTATGAATGGTGCAGGGCCCGATTCTGCAGTGCCTGGGCCCCTCTCACTTCCCCTGAGCAAAGTGGGTTCAAGATGCTTCTGCTTTGACCCTGTCGCCTTCTCCACCCAGGTTGCCTTGACATAGAGGCAGGACCGCCCGAGAGGGGGGGGGCAAGTGGGGCAATTTGCCCCAGGCCCTGCAGGGGCCCCCATGAGAGTTTTTCGGGGCCCCTGGAGTGGGGTCCTTCACTCGCTCCGGGGCCCCCAGAAAACTCTCATGGGGCCCGGGCCCCCTGAGCTTCTTCCGCTCCAGGTCTTCAGCAGCAGGGGGTCCTTCCGCCCCAGAAGTGCCGGGGCTTCAGTGGCAATTCGGCGGCGGGGGCCCCCTGCCGCTGAAGACCCCAGGCCCCCTGAATCCTCCGGGCGGCCCTGCATAGAGGGCAGGGTGAGGGTGAGTCAGGCCCCCAGAATGCTGTCAGGGGTTTTCCCTGTGTTCCCCAATATTCATGTACTGTGACCTATTTTCCTCTTCACAACAAAATCTGCTCAGCAGCTGAGGTGTCTCTCACTCAGCCAGTGGCTGTTCTAACTTCGCCTAATCCCTGTTTTCTTTAGTTACTAACTGATTCTGCTCCTCACCCCTGGCTTTCAAGGCGTTGTCTGTGGGCAAGGCCAACACTCCCAGCTAGGGTGACCAGATAGAAAGTGTGAAAAATCAGGACAGGGGGTTGGGGTAACAGGATCCTATATAAGAAAAAGCCCCAAATATCGGGACTGTCCCTATAAAATCGGGACATCTGGTCACCCTACTCCCAGCTGTCAGTGCCATGGTGCAGAGCAGGCAGGACACCAGCGGCTCCTGTCTGCCCGTCACTCCCTGGCACAGGGCTGAGTCCTTTGGGGAACTGAACACTGCGGTGCACAGTACCTGGGTGCCCCGGCACTAGCCCCCATTCTTCTCTGTGGCAAAGGCATTTGGATCAGTGTCTCTCGTCCTTCTCTTTCCCTGTGCTGTCTGCCTGGAGCTCAGGGCTGCCGTCCTAGTGCTGCTCCGGGCTGGCTCTTGGTTTGGGGGGCCACTGTACAGGGTAGGGAGTGAAACCTGAGACAGGCCTTCCCTCACCTGCATTGCAACCTGAAGTCAGGGCCAGGGTCAGGATTCGAATCCAGGATCTGCAGATCCCCTGCCCACTGCTCAACCCTCCAGGCTACTGTGGAAATGCAAGCTTTTATTCTCATTATTGTAAACCCTTTGGAAACCCGTGAGCATGGTGTCCATAACTCCCGGTAGTGCGGAGTTAGAATGGGGGTTTCACAGCGATGTACTGAGCTGTCTGGGCCATCTGGCCATGCTTCGTAATACCTCCCTGTCCCTTCCACCTCTCTATCATAGCCTGTGCAATGGGCTAAATCCTAA